TGGTAAAAACAAATCAGGATGAAGAAATAATTGCCAATCAGGAAGGGGTTGCTGAGAGACCTACTACTGTCAAGAGTGTATCGCAGATGATTAATGAAAAAGGAACCGTTTTTCATAAGCAGCGTAAGAAAGACTAAACTTTTGAAAGGAGGCACTGCTGTAACTTTCTAGTTGTACATTTTGCTAATCTGAAAGGCACAGATGATATTATTTGGTGAGAAGCAATAGAATCTGTCTGTATTGCAGCATAGTGATGTATATCTGAGAAAGTCAGTTCATTGTAAAATTATAAAAAATTTATTTGTTGTTTCATGTAGTAAAAATTAACAATTAGCTTACCCATCAAGGGTTTATGGCAGCAATTATAAGCAGGACTGGGATTCTTTATTTAATGACACCCTTTCACAAGCATCATTAGTAAGGCAATTAAGTATTGAATCATGAGTAAGGAAGCGAAAACCATTTGTTCGGCATGATCCAGAATTTCGTCTCGAATTACTTCAAGAAGTGTTGCAATTATTTTGATCCTTTTATGAAATGATTTTGCAAAATTGCCAAGCCGTTTTATAAGAAATTAGCAACTCCCGTAACTCATTGCCATTACTATTAGAATAGCTGCGCCTATACGTTGCTGACTACGGTTTAAGCTACTATGCTTTTAAATGCTCGCTTAAACAAAGTTCCATTTAGATGCCTCGGCGGCGACCCTTTTGCGGCGTTTAAGTACTGGAAACAGGGAATACCAAATGGCGGACCTTACAACACTACCAATGGATGTCAACCGTATACGAAATGCTGGGAAGGGTGTCCAGGAGGTACTCCGGCATGCATGGGACATAAGTGCATTCCTCAATACCCGTATTCATATAACAGTTCACTTTATTACGGTACTCCGCGAGGAAAATATATTTATTTCCATGTTACATTTATGGCTACTACACAGGTGCTACTGCGTATTGGCTTCCCACAGTGGAACGAGCTCAACAAGACTTGATGAAATATGGACCCATCGATGCATCATTTGATGTGTACGAAGATCTTTACTATTATGATAGCGGTGAGTAAGAGATAGTTGCAAATTTTTATAACTAGCATTTGCTTTGAACGAGATTTTCAGGAGTATATAAACACACTACTGGAAAGTATGAAGGTAGCCATGCAGTACGGATAATTGGGTGGGGAGAAGACAACGGCGTTCCATATTGGCTGATAACAAATTCTTGGGGACCGTATTGGGGCGACGACGGTATGTGATAAATGTTTCCCAAATGTTTTAAAGAATAAGCGATGAAGTTTCAGGTCTACTCAAAATACTCAGAGGTCAAAATGAATGTGGAATAGAAAAATATCTCTGTGCCGGAACTTCAAATCTCTGAGGAAGTCTCATTCATTCGTGAAACGAGTTTTGTTATTCATTTTTTAATATTTCACCTTGATTTTACAGATAAATTGAATGATTGGGCATATCGTCTATCAGATTTCACTTGATTTTGTTGACTCACAGGAACGCTTTCCTCTTGTTTTGCTTATGTGATCGATTTGTGGAGAGAACTGATCAGAAAAATAAATCTCGATTTATTGTTGCACTCCAAAAGTGAGGTATGAAGATTTTGGATGAAGGAATAGTGTAAACCCCTGGCATATGTTGTTGTCCACAGTCCAGATGATGACTTGTGTGGTGATTTGTCAGTGCGATGGTTTCAATTTCATTAAATTTCATTGAATTTCGATCGATCGTGAACGCACTCCAATTTGAAATCCCTATCTGCGCAACAGCTTCACAGACTTTCATTGACGAAAGGTGTACTTCAAGAATATGTCTTCTCCCCTCGTTTTACAACGAGTTTTAAACCTATTTGAACTCGTGGCGAAATCATTGCAAGTTATAAAATCGGCCATGACATAATCACCAAAGAAACCTTCGCCAGACGAACGACATACAAGTAAAAGCACTGTTTTATGCTTTCAGGATGTATTATTACACGATTTCATGAAAATCAGAATCAGACAGCCATTAAGGTTATACGACGTGATTTGATCACATGCTTAGCTTAGGGGCTATCCGTAAAACGATATGCGAGGTCTCGTGTCACGTCGAGCAATAATATTTCCAACTGAGACATTTATGGTTTTCAATGCAATTCCATTTGGGCATATTCGAGAATATGTGAGACTGTTGAGAGAAATTGAAACATTCTGTTTCACCAGCAGTATGCCTGTGGAGAACGTCTCAAAGGGCAATAATCATATTTTTCGTGGTCTTCTCTTCATATGGTCTATTCAACCTGTTGTTGTTATACAACTTATGCAATCATCACCTATGCCGCTTTGGAAACCAGCACTCCATTTTAAATTTCAAAAGCAAAATGACGCATAATCTTCATAGATGGATTTATTTACCAAAGATTGTTTTCTACTATGGACTATGAACCCTAATAGTGCTGTTGCTTAAGTAGAATTTGCTAATTACGTTTCAAAATTCATTGTGAATACTCTCGTTTAGTTCTATGGACATTACCTCCACGAAGGTGAGCATGAGATTCACGTGGAAAGTATATAAGTAAAACCGCGAAGACATCACTGCTATGAATGAATAGCCTTCTACAACACACGCAACAAAATCATATGGTAAAATGAACTTGTTCTCAAACTCCTTTCGATTCTGAATGTTCTTCTATAAATTGGAACTTCAATTATCAGTGACACAAGGAAACAAACAGGTGATAGACTTTATCATATCTACCGACATGTTAGACAAACTACGCTGGTTAACTTCAGAGAAAGAACAAGATTCATAAAGCTTACAGACCTCGGCCAAAGTTAAACTGGCAACAGACACGAACGAATATGACAGGTTGAAGACGCGTTAACAATCGCTGACAAAAGGCAGGATGAAGCTACCCGGGTGCGATTTTGCTCCGGAATATGGCGACGATAATCCGTAAGCAGTACGTCGATTTCATCCTACACCTCTCTCAGTCCCCCGTGATGATTCGTTTAAAAAGACGGTCCAGATTCGACATTCGATGTTTGGCATTGAAACGTCCCTCTTCAACGTCCGTTACAAATACGTGAAAGTGCAGAAACAGGACGATGAAGATTTCCTTTCTAACGGGGCAAGAGTGAATCGCGACTACCAGTGGTTTGAACTGGCTTCGCTGAGCGAAAATTATTCCAAAATTCTTATGTTCATATGCGGCCAAAGGTCCTCAGAGGACACCAGCATTCGTCTGCAGCAAGCTGAGAAGTATGAGAAGGGAGACATTGCCACCATTCCCACGTTAGCAGCGGAAATGAACCGCTTGCTTAGCTTCAAAAATGACGCTGAAATGATTGAATCGAGCAGCGCTACCGATCCTACCACTATAGCCACTCTCGCCACGTCCGAACTCTAATCCCATACTACTTGTGTCGTCAGATATCAGCTTACACTAAATTTCAAGCTGTTTCTGTGGATCTATGCATTATGTGCGTGACTGTCCAAAAGACGAACACTCGTTCTCACAATGCAACAAAACAGGACACAAGGAGGGGTTCTGTCCCAGTCGACTTTCATTCTCACCAACACCCGGAAGCCTGGGCAGATGTATAAAAATGAAAATTGCGCAGAAAACCTAGGCTTAACGGAGTTTATTCCCTTGCCTCTGAGGATTTCAAACTTTCTGTCGCTAACTGCTCCTTTTCATACACGACCGTCCGGCGAAACCTCTACATCGCTCGAGTTCACATCGTACTATTATATCCTCTCCAAGTTGGAATATGTTGGCTCCCCAGGACTCTCGAAAGCTAGATCAATTTCACCAGTCATCAAAACCAGCATTACAGCACTATTGCAAGACAAAATCAAATCTACCTATTGTTTCAATTCGAAACCACTATCGGAAATCTATTATGTTTCGAAACCTGACAATAATAGCCTCATTGGCGATGAATGGATTGAGAAACAATGCCTCTTCGACCAACATTTCAACGCGCTTGAAGATGACTCTGCAGTATGCAAATCACGATCTGCCAACTTTCTGAATACTTCAAATGCAGAACACTTTATCAATTCTCGATTCGCTACCGTTTCCGGCAATGAGCTTGGTTGTTGCAAGTGTATTAATGGGACTTTGTGATTACATCGTGACTCCCAACCAATTTTTGTCCGAGCTTGATAGGATTGGACAACTTGGTGTTTCTACCAAAGTTAACTACTGAGATGTGGCTGCTCCAATCGTCGCAGTCAAGAAGGGTGACGCTTCCATTCGTATTTCTGCAAACTTCTCGATTAG